GTAAAGTAAGCATCATTATCGCCTTCTCTCACCATACCTCTCTCTACTTGGAACAAGCATAACACTTTTTCAAAGTCTCCCTTCTTTTATCCACCATCCGACCCTTTCTCTTCACTGCCTTCTGTCTTCATTGTGCTCCAGTCAGGCGGTAATGCTCCTTGTCCTGTGTCTGGAGCCTCTGATCTCCTATTACCCTCTCGACATCCAACAGTCAATATTATGCCCCTTTCCTGAGCAATCCTCTCCTCTCCCTCTGCTTTTACAAAAGTCTCAAAAGTCAGACAGTGTCGCCCCTCTCCACTCCTTCATGCACTTGCTCATCTTCCATACACTTATTAACTGGCTGTCATGTTCAGCAGCCTTCCCCCAGACAGTGTTTAGCGTTCCTCAGTCCACTTACAGCAGCCAGAGTTAAGCCTCTGGGCTTTGCTCAGACAGGAATCCAACTAGAGGGGAAAGGCACGACCTACGGACATGATCTGTCTGTTGTGCTCACACTCTCCTTCCTGCACCAGATACCTTAAGGCAGCGCTGAAACGCTCACATCACACAAGACATTATGTCCAGCAGGGTTTTATTATTTCCTGTAGGACAACTCTGAGTGGAAGGTCACCAGATTAGGAACATTTAAGTAATGCATGTCCTTTTCAAAAAGAAAATGTGTATTTAATGTTGGAGGACTTTGATAGTCACAAGGGATTTTTAAAAAAGCAGATTCTCCTTATGATACTATTTATTTCCATATTAATATATTTAAATGTTTTTTACTAGTTACATACTTAATATACACATAAAATGTCTTTAAGCAAGAGGCAATTTTAACATAAAGGCCCAATTTTTGATGTTCTTCACTTTTAACTGTAAAACAGTGGGTGTATTCTACCTCTACCAAGGAAGTTGTACTGTCCCCCCGTTAGTTACTGTGCGTGTCAGCGGGGTGTCTGAGAAACTCAAGAGCAAATTTCCATGAAATTTGGTGTCAAGAAAAGCCTCGAGCCAAGGAACAGTTGATTAAATTTTGATAGTGATCTGGATCTGTGATTTCCACTGTTAGATGATTATTGTTTTTCTGCCACATACTGGATATAGAGGTTTAATTCAGAATCCAACCCAAAACCTAATGGTACGCTTGCAGGGTCAAGAAATCGATTTCACCTCAGATTTAAGAAAGTCGAGCATCCTTACTTCTATTTTATGCTCACATTTTAAAGGAAACCCAAACAGAATTCAGTTCAGCATCGTGTGGCGGATACAGTACTGGGCTGGTCACCTGCCTCTTCTTTCTCCACCCTCCCCATCCCAGGGCAAACGGTGTATGAAACGAGACGTGGCTGGTGGATAGACTTTCATGCCCCTGCTTCACCGGTGTCATTTCTGCAACTCTGAAATTGTGCCATGGTCTACGGGGCTTTGGTGTAAATCACTATCTCCCACTGTCAGACTGCAGTCTTCTGCACACTGTGGATGCCTGGCTTTCTGCTGCCTCCTGGGTGACTAATATATCTTGTTAAATTGTGCTGAGAAGCGTGTGGGGAGCTGAACACCTTCTCTCTTTGTCCTGGGTTTGTTTGTTTGAATTTATGCCTATGTGCTTGTGTGCACCTACAGTACTTCAAAATGTGTGCGAGTCTGTGCATCTGTGTCTACGTGTCCACACTGCGTGACAGAATAGGTAGGCGGAGATGTTACTTTTGCAAATATGTCCACTAAACTCCACAAGTCTGTCAGGCTTTGTTGGTAATTCAGTTAGATTGTAATCCGGCCAGCTTGCACTCACCACCAGCACAGTATCAGAGCTGTGAAGCTATTTCTCAGCTACTTCATAATTAGAAAAGCTGTGGAGCCAAGCCACAGTTTGAGGGGGAAGAGGAATTTAAAAAAAATCTGTTGGCAGACTACATTTTTCAACATTGGCAGAAATGTATTCTGTTTCCCACCCCAAAGACATGGATGCAAGTGATTTCATAGTCACATACGTCCTAGTGCGCCATGTGCATAAAGCTGGGCTCTTCTCTTATCACCAACTGTTAAGCCTTGTACACTGTCTTATCAGCTTCATCCATCCACTGTGCGCGCACATACACACACACACACACACACACACACACACACGTACACACACCATCTCTCTGTCCAGCCATCTGAAAATAGACTTATGGGTATATTTCTGTGGAATTGGTGTTCTCCTGTACAAAGCAGGGAGAGATAATTACCCGTGGTTAAATGAGGTGTAAATAGTCTGATCCATGTGTACTTATTTTCTCAGCACACAGGCTGCAAAATAGCCCATTTTGGGGAATTAAGCATATTCTACAGTGACCCTCTGCTCCTCTGGCCACTGTCCAGCTCTCAAATCCCTTCTGCTGAAATGTGTCAAGAAACCGCTTCGCTGAGATTTCGACACTTCCAGTCTAAGTCTCATGTCTCTTTCAGTCAAAGTAAATTCAATCTGGGACTCTGGTTGACCATCAGAGGAAAGGTGGTGGCGGCCCCCGCCCAAAGCAGATTTAACCAGAAACAGACCATTTCTGCTTCTGTGTGGTGGTGAGTGGGAATATCACACGCTATATTGTGGTTTCTGTGCAAATACGGCCCTTACTGCTCTGTAAACAGGCATCTCTGAAAGGATTCTGTCTCATAAGAAAGAAACACTTATGCAGCCACCCGTTTGCCTGCATGAAATTTGATCTAATGGTCACAAGTAGCCCGAAGAAATAAAGACAATGTCACGGTAGGAGGAAAGTGAAGTAGCTAAACTAGTCCATCCTGAACAGCAGAGGGCATTGTTCCGGAGAAGCCCAGTGCACGGACAGTGAAAGTAGCATTTTCAGATAAATATTTGGCACAAGAAAATCTTCAGAGGAATCCCGGAGCACACCCAATACAAATGATTTATTATTACACCGTACAGACCATGACTAATGCACTCAAACAATCAAGGTGCATCTAGTGAACTACAATGCCCAGGGGTGCTCTCTACCACCGACTTCAAACATTCATAAACGAAGCACACACATAAGAGCCACTCGCAGGCTCAACAAATGTCCACAAGTATCCAAACAGATACACAAGGAAGGAAAGAAAGCCACAGACATTCCCATAGGGGATGCGAGCGCGCTTTAGTGAAGACACTGGCCACCGGCATGTGATTTTATTGGCTCCAGATGTACAGTGCACTTGAAACACTCAGTATTATGAGCCGGACACATCAAAATGATGCTGCCCATCTGGAGCACAAATAATGTAATCAACTCGGGTCACCAGGCAGCATCATCATCTGGCCGTCGGGTAAACCCGCCATTCTGTGACGTCACCGCACACAGGGATAGGCTGGAACCGGCCGCCAGATGAGACACCAGCTTTTTGGAGTATCCACAAAGCTGCTGCACATCTCTCACAAAGCAAAGGTATATGGGAGGAGAGGAAGGTGAACTGTCTATTGTAGCATGAAACACAGATGTTTCTGATGTGTCAAATCAGTTCTGCAACATTACTTTTAACGCTTTCATATGAAGCGCTCACACATAAACAGGTGCTGTATGGTCACTCCGCATGCACACAAGGCCTCTACTTGCAGACCCTTTAATATTCAGTACCTGCCGCGTTCTCTCTATGACTTTGATCAGCCACAGATTCTGCTCTGTCCCTTTTATGTCTGAACTTCAAACCAGCCTATGAAAAACCTGGATCACAAAACCTACTCTGGTTCACACTATCGTGTCACCAAGCTGCTCACTACCATACAAAAACAAGCGTGAAGTTGTTCAAATAAAAGGTAAGACAAGCAGTGAATTACTCTTTTCACAACCTAGATCACTATCCTGTTCTTCCTGGTAAGTCCTTGTTTGTAACTTGTGTGTGCAGAGGAGTGATTATTACAGAACAGGCCCTGGGTAGTTTGAAACCCCCCCAAAAAACTTCTTGGCTGCCTTCAGGCGTTTTACCTCAGGCTTATACTCAGCCAGTGCAATCCACCATGGAGCAATCTGCAGGCAACAGGAAGGACAGCAAAACTTTCCCAAACACTAAAGTCAATATTCAGAATTGCATTGGCAACCTCTCTCCTTCACTTTGTCAGTACTTGGAACTCTTGAGTAAATAAGGTAAGGTAATTCTGTAATACCCCTGGCTGCATTATTCAGCAAGCTAACATCCACAGCCACATCACTGATACCACCTCGCACTGGAGGGCATGTTTCAGAAAACTTGAGTCACTCCAGATGTGCTCTCCCAAAAAGCAGGGCCATGTCAGCTGTTCTCAAACAGCAAGTGGGCCTAGAAGAAAAGCAGCAGAGCATCACAGTGCGACAGCAGGCAGCCACAGACACACAGCGCCCTTAACAGAGCATGCTGTCCCACCTCAGCATCTCTGGCTGCAACAAGGTGGAGAGGGGTGTGGGATGAGCTACACACACAGCTTCAAGCAAGCTTTATAGAAACACCTTAAGTTCCGTGGGTGATAAAGCAAAGGTGCGTTTAAGAGCCCGGGCCTGCACGGCCGTGCCACTTCTGCGCACTTCGGGGCAAACGTACTGCGTCGCACAGGGCATCTGTACCGGAGGGTTTCGATTCCACATCGACAAATCAATGAGAATTCTGCACAGAGGATTTAACAAAATACCAAAGCTGACAAACCCGCTGACCATCGACTGAGCCCCGCTATAAGCTGAATGAATGGGTTGTCAACAACTTCCGATTGAAACTCATTTCCAATTCAAATCCCGAAGTTATTCCACTAATTGCTCTAAAACAGACTCGGAATTTGCCTCACTAGCAATTCCATTAGAGTCTATACAAGACGAGGTGAAGCCCTTATAAAAGCCACACAACTATTTCGCCCTGGCAATGAGTGTGTGCACAGCTCAGAGCAGCCCAGCTCGGACACTCGTTGACGGGCTACAAACACCGCACAAGTAACTGGTCTGTGTTCGAGCGACGAATAAGCCACAAATGAGACAATTACCACAGCGGATATAAGTTGTAATTAAACGCCCGCTCACCTGATAATAAAGTTAATTCTAGGAGGAAACGTTCCCGGGGTTGTGAAGACACACGTCGGTGCCAGGTGTATCCGTTCACCGCAGATCGCGTTGCCCGTTGTTCCACCTCTACTGCGCGTCTCAGTCGCGCTGCATCACTTCTCACTATGGATGTCAGGGAGGCTGGGAAGCTGAGGGGACTCAACCCCCCCATTGGCTGCCATTCACAAGTCCCCAGCAGAACACGGTGAAAGAGGGGAAGGGGAGGGGAAAACACCACGACAAAAACAAAGGAAAAAACACTTTAGATGGGAAAAATACTCACTGCAGGAATATGTGTAATAATGCCTTAGACAAACTCTTTTGCAGTACCACACAATAGTATGGAATTGTGCAAGTTTTTTTTTTTTTTTTTTTTTGCATTTCCTCCGTCTCTGATTAATAGTTGCAAAGTTAGAGGTTGCCTGTGAATTTTAATCAATCAATAAACGGTTATCTTTGTAAAAGCCTCTAGTTAGACTCCCTGCTTCCTATAAAACATTATAAGCCGTGCATGATTACAAGAGCTAATTAAATTAGGGCGGCCCTGAAATGAAGTAAATGGATATATGCACCAGTCCCCATCATGCCAGGTCACATTAGCAGAACCTTAACTCTGCTATGTTCATACTGTAGTGATCCTTCACTTGGCATGTTGTTATGTTCTAAATTGTTATGGTTACTTGATGGGTGTGGAGCTTCAGGGGTTAAGAGGTGTGAGAGCGGGAGGGAGTGAAGTGTGGGGGATTTTGAGCTACAGAGTGTTAGCAGGCTGTTTTTCTTTATTATTGTTGTTGAGCTGTTGTTTTGGCGTGGTTACGGCCAACAGTAACCGGTTGTGTAGAATTAATAAAAAAGCGACTATTCGTCGGCACTCAAGGTTGTCTTCCTTGTGTCCTGCGGGACGCTACAATATATATTTTTTCGTATGTAACTCAATAAAGTCGATGAAAACGTAAGACGAGCCCTTCTAAGTGTAATGAATATATACAGTACCAAAGGCACGCGTAAGCAGACTCTACAGTGAGTATCAAAAATGAAAAACAAGTGTTTATGTGGCTGTTAAATCAGTAATGAGACTGAGGTGATAACATGTCCACTAGATGTCGCTGGA